TATAGAGAAAAATGAAAAATACAAAAGTACTCAAGAATACATGCCTCTACAAGAAACAATTTAAAATTTTTTCAAAGTAAGGTGGCTTCTTGTTGTTAAAACAAAATAACTGAAATAAAATACAACTTAATAATTTTCACAATCTTAAAGTTCATTTTCCTTCTCTGAATATAAAAAGTTGGGGGGGGGAGTCTTCAGGATTTAAAAGGGTAATTCTCTCCCTATAAAAAGCATTATTCTCCGGGATTTTTCTTCTGCGGGCTAACACGGCTGAGAATGTATCAGGCTATATGTGTGCTGCTCCCTATGTAGACATTTTTACTATTAAAAAATGCATTTAATATGAAAATCTCCAAAGCTACTACCAGCTACAAACCTTTGATGCAACTTTCTTTAAGACCAATACAAACCAGAATTCTACTTTGTTTGCTTACTCTGGAGAAACTTTGTATTAGAGGGAAAACAAACAAATGAAAGAGCATTAATAGTTCAAAAATGGCAGCACACAAAAATGACTTGAACGTGTTTAAGGAGAACATTTTCATTATAAAAGGTTCATGGTGCTGCATTAGTCTGGCTCTGGAAGAATGCCATTTTAAACCCAGATCCAGCAAGCGGGGACTGCAGTAGTTACATTTTAAGTCAAACAGCTAATTAATGACTAAACAAAAGAAATTTCAGTCTGGACAACATATATGGAGTACTAATATGTGTAATTATGAAGTAGTCATTTGTGCAATCAGAAAGCTGCATTAGCATAATTATTTCTGGCTCTGGGCCTTAAAAATATTAACTTAAAATGCAGAAACCTTGTAACAGTGCACCTAATGAAGATGCGAATATCAAACGGATTATGAAATAAGAGTTGGTTCTTTAACAAATATGCTGTGTTTAATACATTCTTTCTCTCCTGCCCACGATATAAAAATCAATCCTAACCCTTGAGCTACACACAGGTACAAAGTTTCTATGTTTAATGTATTTTCTTCCTCATCCAGAGCCGACATATTAATATTCATTATTAAGAATCAAAACTACTTCCCTAAGAAATGAATGTTTTTACTTAAAAAAAAATCTTCAGACAAAAATACATTAAGTATGTATAAAACTTGAAAATGCAAAATAAAGAAGCAAATGAATAAAACAAAAGGATCAGAAGTCACTAAATAGTGCAAGACCTTGGGAAAGTCTATTTGACATTTTTCTCTGGGACAGAACTGTAGCAAGTATGGACTCCAAAATCAGATCGTGGGCCTGGACTCCCCAGGTCACCACTTTCAGGGGCTTTAACATCTCTGTGGCTCACGTTCCCTCGTCTACAACGTGTGGATATCACACAGCCTACTTCACAGGATTAATTCAAGGAGTAAAAGTGATTTTTCACGTAAAGGACTCCACAGTGCCTAACACACAGCAGATGTTCAACAAATGGCAGCCCTGGTAACACTGCTGTCCTCATCCTTCCCTCATTCTCAGAACCTACGACAAGGGTGTTTGTGGCTGAGAATGCATCATCTAAAATTGATTTGTTTTTAGATACAGCATTCATTTTGCAATTGCAAATAACATTCAAGAACGGCAGCAGATTTTACCTATTCTGATGAGTTAGAAAAGGTTAAAAGCAGCTTAAATAGGCCCTGAAGTCTCTCTTCTCTTCTAATAGTCTTTTCAGTGACTTTCAGTTTTACCAAATTTGCATATGAAACCACAATCCTAATCCTGTATTAACTCTTTTTAATCTAAAACTAAATTACAGAATAGATTTGCCAAGTACACTAATGTGGTTCAGGGCTATGGGTCTTTCATTAAAAGCCTAGACAACACACAGCAGAAAGATGTTCCTAAGAATTAGTAAGTAACACAAAAGGAATTAAGCTCAGACAGAGACAGGTCCTAGGCAGGGTGCTATCTTGACCAAATTATTTCACTACTTTTTACCACCACTCACTCATCCGTCAGAGGAAACATTTACACATCTCATCATGTTTCTGTGGGGCTCAGAAAGAACTACATACAGCACCAGGCACCAGCGAGGAAGAGGAGCTCACTGAAGGGCAGCATCTGAGCGGGGACACGGTCTCACTCTCCCTCAAACGCACACACAGGGTAAGAGCTGGGTTTTCTCAAGAAATCAGAAACATTACAACACACGTTGAGTAAGGGAATTTCTCAAAAGTACTGAGGAGTCAGACTATGCCCCGAACTCAACTGTACACACCCAGCAGAGGGAGAGACCACTGGCGACAGAGAAGATGACAGCTGACGTCTCATCCAGGCAACCTGGGCGCCGGCCTACTTCTGGAACATGCGCTGTGCGGAGGGAGATGGATACACGCATGGGCTGTGCTCTCAACCCTCTCGAGCCCGCACGCCTCTCCCAGGAAGAGCACTCATCCCCGAACGAGGCATCTACAGAAATGTAGTTTTTGTCCAGCCCAGCTCCAAAATACAGGCCGACTGCTTCGTGTGGTCCTCCCCCAAAACACAGCGATCTATCCCAATTCCAGAGGGAAGTCGGGCACCGCATAACGGTGCTGGGACTAACCTCTACGAGCGATTCGAGAGATTTCGCCGGCAGTTCTCACTGGGCGTGAAGCCGCCTCACACGGGGCCACAGAGCCCCCGCAAGGGACGCACTCCCGAAGCACGTTTCCTTCGGGTCTTGGTGGCAACAGGAAGGAGGGCAGGCTGAAGGACACAGGGACAGGCCGACACCCGGCAAAGCAATGAGCAGGAGTGCTGTTTTATTCCTATTATTCATGCCAGTTTAAGAAAAAAAGATGACAGGGAACCATCACCACGTAACACCCCAAAGAATTAACAACTCCTGCTGTCGCTCTAAGATTCCCCTATTTTTCCTAAAGCCAAAAACAAACAAGAAAAAAAGCCAAAGTCCTCTACACAGAAATATGGGCCAATCTTTAAATTCAGTTTTGCCGTAAGTTTTTGTCGGTGCTGAGATGACAAATGTTGGAAAGAACTGCCCCGACACAAGGGAAGAGGGCGGATGCCATCCCCTCTGCCGGCTGAGCGGCCCCTGCTGCCTGCAGCCCCAAAGGAGCAACATGTTCTTCTACCCAAGTTTTCAGCAGTAGTGACAGCTTGTGAAACACGGGCAGTCCCCATTTCCCAGACCCCAGCTTCACACTGCATGGATCAGAAAGGGATGCGGTTCCCCTCTCGGGCCTCAGGCTTCTGCAACACCGGGACCTAAACCTGGGGTCTCCGAGGGCTTTGTGTACTGGGCCGTAGCAGAAAACGCAGAACAACTTCTCTCCCTATGAAGCCTGGCCTCCGTAAAAATTCCTTATTGGGTGTTTTATAATTTATCTAAAATATTAATAAAATGGTAAATAAATGTTTTAGAGGTGAATAAATATGTGTAAGCTGAAGGGCTGTACTTAAAAATTGCAAGTTTTGAAAGCACTGGTCTAAATAATCTACCAGCTAAATTTCTGGCACTGTTAACTTCCAGCATTATATGACTCTTAAGACCTCTAATTTTAATTCACTAAGCAATTGCTGTTTTCAAATATAATTTCAAATCATAATCAAAATAAATTGTCAATTTTATGTAAAATATTAAAAAATTCAAAAAATTACACTTATAAATAAACTGGAACTAATGCATAATAATGTGGTATCAAATCTATGTTTCAGGAAATACTAAGAAATGTACTGAGTTTTAATATTTCATGACCTAGTTCTGACGTACCAAATTTAAGAATCTATGATTAAGACTAATTTTCAGCATATTTTTTGTTTTCAGGTCTAAAACATCTGAAACAGTTAACAAATGACTATTTAAAACAACAGGCCTCTAAACTACCTAATGTTTGTCAAAGCAAAAGTATTCTGTTTGAAGCGGAAATGTAATTTATGCAAATAATCAAAATATACATACCTTATAAAAATTTAAATCAGTAGAGACAAGGTAACAAAACTATGAGCTTTTAGTGAGTATTTAAATCTGTAAACTAGGTAAGTAAAGGGACTTTCATCCATATAACCTCTTATAACTCAGAAGCATTCTAAGAGTTTGAGCAAAACAATTTTTTAAAAAAAGAATAAATAGGCAGCACTATTTTCTTCTTGTGTCTTAACAAAACTGAGTGCCCAAGACAGGGTTAGGTGTTAAAAATTTAACCTAACTTGGAAGTAAATGTTGAAGCAGCAACATCAATTGATTTACACCGACTTTGCAATACCAATAACCCCAGCCGTTTGAATTAAGGGACTGTAGTTCCCAGCCTGATGGGCACAGACCCAAGTCTCACCACCACACTGAATGGGTATCACCCTAAGTTGAAATATTCAGATTTCAAAATAAAAGTAAGATGAAGCAATCCACCCCTAATACTAAGACTCTCAGATTAAGATTTACCAAAAAAGGAAACATCACCCAAGAAGACACACTTGGATTCACTGGACTTCATCAATCGTCTTTCTCACCATATGACAAATAAGCAACCTACTATACAGACTTCACTCCTAACACAACTTCCTATCGTTAAGGTAAAGCGATTGATTCTCCACGCAAACCTCCTTCATCAGCGAGGACAAGAGCTACTCTGCTGGTAAGAAGCCTGCCCTTCCCAGTTCTACAGGAACTTCACTGTCAGGACCCCGCACATTCTGTGCAACATTGAGGCTGTGTCTTTATTAATTCATGGCAACGTTAAGAACTAAGGTTTAACTGAGATGCAGAGTTAACCACCAAATGCAGGACACCAAAATGTAAGAAAAGACAAAGACAGAAACTCATGCTACCTTGTAAGTCAGCGTGCACATTTTATATTTTTCAACGCAAGCCAAGCAGGTGAGAGAGAGTTCAAAAAACACGTTGGTTTCTGTCAAATCCAGATTGAGCATTCTTCCCACTTACCATTTCCTAGTTCAATATTTTGAATTTAAAGCTAATATAAAGTACCACACTGCAAAATGACCTAACAAGTTTGCCCTTAAAAAGATTATACCCCTAAAAATAGAAATTTATCTACCTCATTAGTGTTCCAACGGTGCCTCTCTTTGGGTAAACTTGAACATTTCGGCAGACATTCAAGCAGCTTTTTCGGTAAAAAGATTTTTACATGACTACTATTGCTGTTCCCATGATCATCTATAAAGAAGAAAACAGTAAATTCAGAGAAAATAATAGAGAAAATCTCCTTTTAAGTATACTGGCAAGGTCAGAAACAGCAGCTCAGTTTAGTCACTGTGAGACCAAGAGCATCACTCCTCTTGGTTAACAATACTCATTTACACTTATCAGATAGATGGCAGCAGGAATCTGGCCAAGAGGATTTAAAATAAGATTGAGCTTTTTGCTCCATGGCAAGCAAGTGAACAGGGACTATCCCAGCAGCTGCCCATAACCAGAACACTGCTTTTAAAGGTCCTTTCACCAGGTTTCCAGGAAGTACATCAAAAATACAAAATGACTTGACCTCACAAAACCCAGAAATCTTCTATTAACCAGTTGAAAAGGTTTTAATTTTAGGGAAGAATTATAATAAAATATGACCACTTACTTTATTAATAAACTATTACTACTTCATCCCCTAGAATACAAATGAGACTTACCCTTCCAAAAGAAAATTACAAATCTTTTAAATATAAGGAATTTAAACCTGCAGTTAGCTACCTAGGCAAGACAGAGGTGGCTTTCTAGCCTAAATCTAAAAACATATCATTTTAATTAACTTGATTTACATATACATACCTATATGATTAATGTTATTTCATCAAAACGTAACTTCTCTAAATTAGTGAGAGAAAAGGTCATTACTCTCGGACTGGAATGGTATGTCTGACTGCCTGATAATCAGTCTCCCTGATACTTTCTAAGAGAGAGCATCTCCTTTATGTAATATTTCATTCACTTATTTACTTACATATCATTTCTTGTTTCATTCCTATAACAAAATCCCTTTGCCTGGCTCAAAATTTCTTGCCAGTTTTGACACATTCAGGTCAAAGTTTCAAATTACCCACTCCAATTTTTTTTTAATGCCAAATGGAAGCCTCAATATCTAACAGGTGCAATGCATAACTGGGTACTAAGGAGCAACACATTAAAATACTGAAGACTGAATTTGCTCCAGGAAGTCACAGCTGAAATAACTTATTCTGATATGAGTAAGGTATAACGAAACACTGACTCCAAGTCAAGAGTCCCGGGTTCTGGCCCAGTTCTGCTACTTTCTAATTGTGTGACCTTGGGTAAGTTACTTAATATTTTCAGTTTTCCCATATCAAGGAGAAGCAGATAATCTCTACCTCTCCTCCAGGCATAGATCCCTAGAGAATTTATTGTCACATTCAGTAATTTTGAATGTCTTAGAATTAAACAACCTTATATAGGCATACAGATATTAGTTAAGAATGCTGAAAGTGAAATACAGCAGCGTATTTTTCCAGTCATTTACTGTAACTCTGTTTAGCAGAGTCTATTTTCTGAGTATGTGAAAAACATAAAAGAATAAAAAATATTTTCTACAGTCATAATAAAATCCTCCCCAAACATTTTTCATCTGATTAACACATTTCTTCTCAGGGAAAAAAAATCTTAACAAGAAAATATTGGGCATAGAAATGAAGTCTAAAAAAATTTACTACATCATATGGAAATATTTTACAGGGAGGAACTTAAGAGAGTTTCAGCGTACTAAATCTTTTTTGGTCCATGAACTACACAACCAATTGAATTATAATACCTATCTTCTCTTTCTATAAGCAGTATAAAAACTTGAAAAACTT